AATATAGGCACTGTAGTTAAGAAAATGTCAATGTGTATACCAGTCTTCCTACCTCAGTGAATGTCTGAAGATTCTTATAATTTAAGAAGTACTTCTTCTGAGAGAATACAAAGAGAGAGATTGAAGTTAGCAAGCACTGACAACCTTTTGAAGGAATTTTTTGGAAAGAAGAGCAAAGAAATATTGGGGGTTAGAGACTGGTGGGAAAAGTGGGATAAAAAAACAGGATTTTTTTAAATGGGAAAAATAACATCATGCTTGAATGCTGATAGGACTGATCCAGTAAAAAGAGAGCAAAATAATGATATAAGAGAAAGGAGAATTACTAAAGTACTATACTTGAGTAATTGAGAGAGGTTGTGATCTAGTAAATAAGTGAAGGGATTACCCTCCGTAGTACACTAGTGGTTCCTCAGTAGTAATGAGTGAACAGGTAGACTACATGGGTACAGATGGTAGGTGGAAGTTCTCTTCTGACTGCTTAAATTTTCTCAGGAAATAAGAAGCAAAGTCATCCTATGAGTGAAAATGGTGAAGAACAATGACAAGTTTAAGGAGAAAATAGAAGGCATGAAATAAGTCAATTAAAATAGTCACAGAATGAATGGACTAGGAAAAAAATAATATCTGCCTACCTGGCAATATTAAAGACCTCATGAGTCTGTGGTCATAAATTTAAAGTGAGACCAGTCAACATGATTTGCGTGTTTTTCTCTAGCCACATTCAGCTGCACAGATGCAGGCATAAAGTAAACAGAGATTTGGATTTAAACGGCACTGAAGTTGCACCAAGGGGTACAATGACATGAGAAAAGGTTAAGGAAGTCAAAAGTACATGCAAGAGAGTAACCATATAGATCAACATATAATTTAGGTTTGGTAAAAAGAGAAAAGAGGACAAGGGGTAAGGGATAGTAATAAGTTAGTGGGTTCATGGATTCTAGGTCCTGGTGGGGTAGAAGGATAGTTGGAGTCAGGGTACCAGAATAAGAGGACAAGAAAAATAAGAGGTAGTGCTCATAGAGTGGGAAGCACAAAACTGAGATTACACGTGGGACACAGTATACATGACAAAATCTAGGGTCTGACTATGGGAATTTTGAGTAGTTGAGTTGTAATTCATGATGCAAGATATTATCACCAGAGGAGAGGAGCTTAAGATCCCAAAAGTGTGTTGGAAGGATCATCTCCATGTACACTGAAATCACCCAGAAATCTGTATATTCTAAAATTTCTAAAATTAGCATGTTACTGTAATTAAAAGTAAACCTGTTTTAAGATTTTAAAACACAAACATTATAAACATTATCATTACAAGTCAAATTGTTATTTTCCTATTTATTCAATAATGGGTATCCTTTCATAGCTAAATGAAAAAATGTTAACATATTATACATCAACTTCATCCTAACATGCTTATGTAATTTTTCAGTTTTTCACAGCATGTGAAAAAAATAACCTCTAATTTTAAGACAAATGAAGGTATGTTTTAAATTCATATTCCTAATATAACTAATAAACATGAATTTTTATCAACACTGATTATCCTCATGCCTGCTTAATAAGAGAACATTTATTTATGTCTCTGACACAGGACTTGGCTTATAGTAATGATTCAATAAATTCATTTTATCAAAGGGGAAAGATAATACTACAAACTCATATAATTATTTAATATTTACTTCAGGGCTTATTTCTAAAATAGATTCCTAAATTTTCACATAATGAAGACCTTGGGTCTCAAAAGTTCTAAATATAAAATTCCAGAATTGATTAAATCCCAAATGTAAAATTTCAGAGTTGACTAGGAAACCAACACTTCTTTTATTTTTTTAATTTTAATAAATTTAGGGGGTACAAGTTGAATTCCATTACATGTACATATTGTATAGTGGTGGAGTATGGGCTTTTGGTGTACCCATCATCGAAGTAGCGCCCATTGTACCCCGCAGGTAATTTTTCATCCCTCACACCCTCTTACCTTCTCCCCTTCTGAGTCTCCAATGTCCATTATACCACTTTGTGTGGCCTTGTGTAGCTATAGTTTAGATCCCACTTATGAGTACATATGGCATTTATTTTTCTGTTCCTGAGTTACTTCACTGAGGATAATGGCCTCCAATTCCATCCAAGTTGCGGCAAAAGGCATTATGTCATTCCTTCTTATCACTGAGTAGTACTCTATTTTGTATGTATCTATATCAATATAGCTACATACATACACACACATACACATCTCATATTTTCTTTATCCACTCATCAGTTGATGGGCACTTAGATTGGTTCCGTATCTTTGTGACTGTGAATTGTGCTGTGATAAACATATGAGTGCAGGTATCTTTTTAATATAATTATTTCTCTTCATCTGGGTAGATATCCAGTAGTAGGGTTGCAGGATCAAACGACAGATCTATTTTTCTTTCTCTGAGAAATTTCCATACTGATTTCCACAGAGGTTGTATTGATTCACACTGCCACCAATAGTGTGTAAGTGTTCCCTTTTCACCACATCCACATCTATTGTTTTTTTAACTTTTTAAGAACAGCCATTCTAATTGGAGTAAGATGGTATCTCATTGTGGTGTTAATTTGAATTCTCCTGATTAGTGATATTGTGCATTTTTTGGTGTTCTTTAGCCATTTGTACATATCATCTTTTGAAAAATGCTTCATATGTCATTTGTCCACTTTTTAATGGGATTTTGTTTTTCTTGCTTAAATGTCTGAGTTCCTTGTAGATTCTGGGTATTAGTCCTTTATCAGACACATAGTTTTTGAATATGTTCTCTCATTCTATAGGTTGTCTATTTATTTTTTTTTTATTATTTCTTTTGCTATTCAAAGCTTTTTAGCTTAATTCAGTCCCATTTGTCTTTTATTGTTTTTATTACATTTGCTTTTGGGGTCTTAGTCATAAACTCTTTGCCAAGGTCAACGTCCAGAAGAGTTTTTCCTAGATATTCTTCTAGGATTTTTATTGTTTCAGGCCTTTAGGTCTTTGATCCATCTTAAGTTAATTTTTTCTTATGGTGAGAGATAGGGTCTAGTTTGATTCTCCTGCATATGGCTCTCCAATTTTCCCAGCACCATTTATTGAATGATGTGTACTTTCCCCAGTGTATGCTAATATTTTTGTCTGCTTTGTCAAAGATCACTTGGCTATAGATAGAGAGTTTTATTTCTGGGTTCTCTACTCTGTTCCATTGATCTATATGTCTACTTTTATGCCATTACCATGTTATTATGGTTACTACAGCCTTGTAGTGTAATTTGAAGTCAGGTAATGTGATATCTCCAGTTTTGTTTTTGTTTCTTTTTTTTTTTTTTTTATCTTTTTTTACTTAGTATTGCTTGGCTATTCAGGATCTTTCTTGGTCCTATATGAATTTTAGAATTGTTTTTTCTAATTCTGTGAAAAATGACTTAGGTATTTTGGTAGGAACTACACTGAACCTACAGATTGCTTTGGGCAGTATAATGATCATTTTAACAATATAGATTCTTTAGATCCATGAGCATGGGATGTTTCTCCATTTGTCTGTGTCATCTATGATTTCTTTCATCAGTGATTTGTAGTTCTCCTTGTTCTTTCACCTCCTTGGTTAAATTTATTCCTAAGTATTTTATTCATTTTGCAGCTGTTGTAAATAGAATTGAGTTCTTGATTTGGTTCTCAGCTTGGTCTTTTTTGGTGTATAGAAATGCTATTGATTTTTGTACATTTCATTTTATAACCTGAGACTTTGCTGAATTCATTTATCAAATCTCCTTTTTTGGAAGAGTCCTTAGAGTTTTCTAGGTGTAAGATCCTATCATCAGCAAACAGAGATATTTGACTTCCTCTTTTCCAGTTGGGATATTTTCCCTCTATTGCCTGATTGCTCTGGCTAGTACTTCCAGTTGACCAGAAGTGGTGAAAGTAGGCATCCTTGTTTTGTTCCAGTTGTTAGGGGGAATGCTTTTAACTTTTTCCCATAGAGTATGAAGTTGCTGTGGGTTTGTCATATATTGCTTTCATTATGTCATTATTTTCCATTCTATAACAAGTTTTTTGAGAATTTTTATCATGAAGGGATGCTTTATCAAATGCTTTTCTTGCATCTACTGAGATGATCATATGGCATTTATTTTTAATTCAGTTTCTGTAGTGAATCATATCTATTGATTTGCATATGCTGACCCATCCTTAAATCACTGGGATAAAATTCATTTGATCATGGTGAATTATTCTTTTGATGTGCTGTTGGATTCAGTTTGCTAGTATTTTGTTGAGGATTTTTGCATCTATGTCCATTAGAGATAATTGGTCTGTAGCTTTCTTTTTTTGCTGCACCCTTTCTTGGCTTTGGTATTAGAGTGATACTGACTTCACAGAATGAATTACAGAGGATTCCCTCCTTCTTAATCTTTTGGAACAGTTTCAGTAGGATTGGCACCAGTTCTTCTTTATATGTCTGGTAGAATTCAGCTGTGAATTCATCTGGTCCTTAGCTCTTATATTTGTTGAGAAATTTCTTTTTTATTATTACTGATCCAATCTACTCATTACTGGTCTATTTAGGAGCTCTATTTCTTCTTGGTTCACTCTCAGGAGGTTGTATGTTTTCAGGAATTTATCCATTTCCTCTAGGTTTTCTAGTTTGTGAGCATAGAGTTATTCATAATAGTCTCTGATGACCTTTTTTATTTCTGTAGTATCAGTTGTAATGTCTCCTTTTTCATTTCTGAATTGTGTGCATTTGGATGTTCTTTCTTCTCCTCTTAGTCAGTCTAGCTAGTGGTTTATCAATTTTGTTTATCTTTTTGAAGGGAAACCAACACTTCTGTAACACTATTCCTAACACTCTTTCCCAATTCAGGTTTCAAGAGTGAGGTAGCAACAAGTAAGGTTGAGACTAGTGATAGAACTCAATCTTTTAGCTCTTATCCTTCCACTATTTTTTCATGACCTAGTCAGTAATATACCAATAACATACTATATTTTGAAATATCCTACTTACTGTGGTGTGATGGGATATATTGCCAACAATGTTGAGGTTTTTGAGTAGCTGAGGAGAACCACTATATTGTCCAGAGATCTGCTTCCTAACTTCAGCTGCCACAGTTCTATAACAAAGAAAGCAAATATATTATATATAATATTTTTTTAAAACCTAGTTTAAAATGGAGGGAAACTAAGTATATTAAAGATTCATTTAAAGAACAACAAAATCTCAATATGTCAGTAAGCCTATAAATTCATAACATATTTCAGGAAATACTTTTCTAGCTTATAATTACATTACAATTTCTCTTTTTTTTTTTTTTTTGAGACTGAGTCTTGCTTTGTCGTCCAGGCTAGAGTGAGTGCCATGGCATCAGCCTAGCTCACAGCAACCTCAAACTCCTGAGCTCAAGCAATCCTACTGCCTCAGCCTCCCGAGTAGCTGGGACTACAGGCATGTGCCACCATGCCCGGCTAATTTTTTATATATATATCAGTTGGCCAATTAATTTCTTTCTATTTATAGTACAGACAGGGTCTCGCTCTTGCTCAGGTTAGTCCCGACCTGGAGCAATCCGCCCGCCTCGGTCTCCCAGAGAGCTAGGATTACAGGTGTGAGCCACCGCGCCCGGCCTACAATTTCTTTATAATGCTCATATAGAGTACAAGAATGACAACCAACTTACATGAGATGGTTGTTTTACATGGCACTTTAGGAAACATACTTTGGCCTATGATAAAGTTGGAAGGTCTAAAAAGCTCAATAAAGCTGGAAGCTATAAAAATATATATTAAAATTTATTATATATGCCTTAAAGATATAAAGTTAATTCTAAAATATTTTATAAACAAATCAACATATGATAAGAACTAGGAAGAAAAAACTCTGGAGTATTTTCAAGCTAATGGTTTAATCCAGAGCCCTGAACATCTTGATCCCCATTAGAATCTCCAGGTGAGTTTCAAAACAATCTCATTTTCCAAATATTATCCAGATTTGGGATATAATCATTTCCCTACTTCTCTTCAATAACTTCTTCCTTCTTTCTTATTCAATCATTCCACACAAATTTATTGGGCATTATTATGAGCCAACTACACAATTAGAAATTTTGTATGTAGAAACAAAAGACATCCTTTAAGGCTCAAGATACTCAATTGCTCAATTTTTTTATAGGTGCCTTGAGGTACTTTAGATCATATTTGTGTTTTAAGAGGCTCATTCATTATTGATAACTTTCAAAACTTGGAAGCAATCAAGCTGTCCTTCAATGGATGAACATAAAAACAAACTAACTTTCATCTATACAATGGATTATTCAGTGATAAAAAGAAATGAGCTACAAGCCATGAAAAGACATGGAGGAACCTTAAAAGAATACTGCTGAAGGAAAGAAGCTAATCTGAAAAAGCTACATACTCTGTAATTCCAAATATATGACATTCTGGAAAAGGCAAAACTATGGAAGACAGTAAAAAGTCCAGTGGTTGCCAGGGGCTGCGGGTAGGGGTGGGAGGAAATAAGGGCAGTGGGCTAAGTTTCAGCATTAAAAAAGCCTTAAGACTAAAATAAAAGACAAAGTCTATAAATAGAGAGGGGGGAAAAAAGAGACTTAGATATAATCAAATGCAATGTATAGTTATTACTGGATCATGATTTGAACAAATCAGCTATAAAATATATTTTTGCTGTGATCTACGGCATTTTGCTATATCGCTATTTCATCAACTAAAACATGGTAATAATATTGTTCCCTATTTCTTGGAATATATTAAATTATAACTACAGAAAAAAAGAATTCAAAAATTTAGCATTTATAAATATTAACACTGATCTGAAATTGGCAATTAAAAACAGAGGGGAAAAAAAAACTCTACTCTAGAAAGTTAATCCTCCCAAAAGGAGATAAATTTATCTTAAATCCCACCCTACTTCATAAAAATAAAGCCAGAATCTTCTTACCCACAAATGTACAAACTATATCCTGGTATAAATTGTATATAATTACTTACTAAATCCTGTTTATTCTAACTCTTAAATACTTCTCAAATCTTTGTACCCTCCTTCCCTTTCCTGTAGCATCTGCCTACAAAAACATCATACATAATGGTGAAAGTTTGAATGCTTTCCTCCTTAGATCAGGAGGTCTGTTCTCACCATTTCTATTCAACACTGTACTGGAAGTTTTAACAGTGTGATAGGAGAAAGAAAAGAAATTAAAAGCATTTAGATTGGAAAGGAAGAAATACAATCATCTTTACTCATAAACAAAATTATTCTGTACACAGAAAATGCTAAAGAATCCACAAAGAAAACTATTAGAAAAATTAGTTCAGTAAGACCAAAGGATATATAAGTTCAATATTCAAAAATCAACTGTATTTCTGTATACTATCAATGAACAAATCAAAATGAATTGAATTCCATTCATAACATCAAAAACAGTAAGAAATTTAGAAATAAATTTAACAAGGGAAGTAAAAGACCTGTACACTGAAGACTTCAAAACATTGCTGAGAGAAATAAATAAGATCTAAATAAATGAAGAGACATTCCATTTCATGGATTAGAAGATTTGATATTGTTCAGAGGGCAATTCTCATGAAATTGATCTACAGATTCTATGCAACCTCTATCAAAATCCCAAAAGGATTTTTGCAGAAACTAGCAAACTTTAAATTGATATCAATCCTAAAATGTATATGGAAATATAAAACTCCAGAATAGCCAAAACAATTTTGAAAAGGAAGTAAAAGGTTGGATGACTCACACTTAATGAATTTTAAAATTTTCTTTAAAGCAAAGGTAATCAGAACAGTGTGGTAATGGTGTAAGAACAGACATACCAATCAATGAAACAGAACTTAGAGTCAAGAAATAAACTCTAATATTTATGGTCAACAATTTTTTTTTTTTTTTTTAAACATTCTTCAAACTCAGGTCAACAGATTTTTGACAATGATGCCAGGCAATTCAATTGGACAAAGATAATCTTGTCAACAAAGAGTGTTTCAACAATTGAATATCCACATGCAAAAGATAAATTTAGACCTGTATCTCAAACCATGCACAAAAATTAAAGCAAAATGGATCATAAACTTAAATGCAAGAACTAAAACTATAAAATTTTTAGAAGAAAATCTTCATGACCCTGGACTAGGTAAAGAGTCTTAGCTACAACAACAAAATCATGATGCATAAAAGAAAAATCTGATGAACTAGACTTCATCAAACTTAAAAAACTTTGTGCTTCAAACGTCACCACTAAGAAAATGAAAAGACAAGCCAGACAGAAAGAAAATATTTGTAAATCATACATCTAATAAAGGACTTACATCCAGAACATATAAAGAACTCTTACAACTCAAAAACAAGATAAATTATCCCATTTAAAAATGAGCAAAAGATTTCGATAATTCACCAAAGAAAATACGTAAATGACTAATAAGCTCACAAAAAATATCACTAGTCATTATTAGGGAAATGCAAATCAAAACCAGTATGAAATGCCAATTCATACTCACTAAAATGTCTATAATCAAAAAAAGGACAATGTTAAGTGTTAACCAGGGTGTAGAGAAATTAGAACCCTCATACGCTGCTGGTGGGAACGTAAAATGGTACAGTCACTGTGGAACAACTTGGCAGTTCCTCATAAAGGTAAACATAAAATTACTATATGACCTAGCAATTCCACTCGTAGATATGTATATATCCAAAAGAATTGACAAAAAGCATTCAAACAAAAGCTGTACGTGAAGGTTCGTATCAGCACCATTCACAATAGTCAAAAGGTAGAAACAATCTAAATGTCCATCAATTGAAGAGTAGATAAATAAAATGTGCTACATACAATAGAATATTATTCAGCCATAAAAAGGAGTGAAATACTGATATATGCTAAAATATGGACGAACCATGAAAATATATGCTAACTAAAGAAGCCAGATACAAAAAGCCACACATTGTATAATTCCATTTATGTGAAATGTTCAGAAAAGACAAATAATTGAGAGAGACAGATGGATGGAAAGTAGATTACTGGTTGCCTGGGGCTTGGGGTGAAAATAGGGAATGACTGTAAACTAGCACAAGAGATTTTTTAAGATGATGGAAATTGTGGATGATAGTTTCAAAACAACAAATATGCTAAAATTCATTTAAAATGCACACTGACAATGAATGAGTTTTACGGTATATAAACAACACCTCAATACACTTTTTTTTTAAAGAGTCCAGGTATGGTTGGAACTGCTCTATGAAGATAAGGGGAGGAAAAACAGTTTATTAGAGAAAGAATGATGATGACAGGAAAAAGAGGAGAGCTGCAGTGGAGTTACTGAGAAAGTTTTGCACCCTGAGACCCCAAACTACAATAACTATATCTTAGGCAAAGATTATGAAAATCATTAAATGGTTGATACAAGTGAAGGAGTTAGTTCAGTTTTTTGGTGTCACAGGGCAAACCAGGAACAGCTCGTGATAATGCAAGAGTACAGAAAGGATAAGAAAGCCAAAAACAAAATTAAAAACCAAGAAGACATCCTTGGGAGGGCTATGAGTGGGCACTAAGGTCTGAGCTAAATCTGAAAAAGTTAAGGGACAGAGAAACCACAGCTAGCTAGCATCAAGGTATAATGGTTTTCTTTGTATTTCACCAGTTCCATTTAAATAACAGGTTGGATAGCTGGCTATACTGCCATATATTTAAATAATTATATGAATGTGGAACAATCTAAAATGACTATTTTAAAGACATCAGTTGTTTTGGTGTGACCAACATTCTTATCTTCCTTCTTTAGGTTAAAAACTCCTTCTTTTTGGTAAGGAACTTATTCCTTGCAATTTCAGTGGGGCTAACACCATCACATCTCTCCCTCAAGCCATAGAGAAGAGCATGTGAGCCAGGACTAGCTAGACTCTCCCATGTCTCTAAACATGGTAATTTTTCCAAGGAAGGACATGTAACTGAAGCCAAACCAATAATTGAGTCCCTGGATCTTTCCTGGCAGAACTAAACTGACAGAATTTGAGCCTGAGGCTGTCAAATCACATTGTAACCATTTTGTAAAAAATCTATCCAAGACATGAAGATAAGAGGCCTGCTGACATCATCTATAT